CAACTTTTCGATACAACGGCGTGTCCAGTGACCCGCTTCCTTTATTGTTCTAAAAAAAAATTTCGAACCGTATGCGCATAACGGGCGTCAGAGGCAGTGGCTGGCAAAGCGAACCATGCGTTCATTCTTGCTTAGTGGTTGAAGAAACGTTCTTCTGCCTGACGTTATTGGCTGCAGTCGATATTTATACTTGTCCCATTTGGAAGGGACTGTTCCCTCCAAATTTTATCTTGGTAAAACTAGCACCCTCCCCCCTTTTTTTTCCTGCGGCTCTCTGAAATTTTGTAGTTTTGTCTGAGGGTTTAACTACATGTCACTCTGGCCACCCCTGCTGCAATCATTCCTTGAAAGTGAAAAAGAAAAAAAAAAGTTATATTCTGTTTCTATTTTTTTTTCTAAAAATAGTGACTTTACTGGAAGTGTGCTTATTCCAGCCGCATAAATTGCCTCGGCGAATCGGTCTGTCATATTGCGGGGGACTGTGAGAGTTAAGAGAATTCCGGATGATTTGATGAAGTTTGTGAAGCGACGTTATGAAAGTCACGATTGCCAATAACGTAGAAAGTCGGAGAGCAATGTGGCGATTGAAGAGTTTATTTAGAACGCGCAAATCTAACCTTACATTGAAAAAAAAAAAGAAAGCCCTGTCGACGGGATTGTTGCGTTGTTGTCGTATAAAACGATATAATTAATGTCCGGTTCTTATCACTGTTTGCCGCCTGGCACATCCCTAGAACATTTGTTTTTGTTTTGCTTTGTATTCCACGTGTGTATTATTTTCCTGTATTGCTCCTTTCCTCCCTATGAATGTAATGGGAGTAATTAAAACCGGTCTAGAAAAATATTCTTGTCGCGAGAAGTTTTTCAACGAAAGGGCTAAAAAAACCTCGACTTATTGTTCTTGGGAAGGGGCATTATTACCAAAATCACAACAGCCGCTTGTGCATATTAAAATTGTCATGATAGACACATGCATCTTTGGCGTGATATTGAAATTTCATAAGAAACGGTTAGGTTAGGTCGACTTTTCCGTCAGTTTTGCATTTTCTCGCAAAATGTCTGTGGTCCGAAGTTACAAACGACAGTCATGCCTTATAAAGCACTGGCTTCCGTTAGTTAGACAAGTGCCTCGGTGCAACATGCAGAAAGAACGTCTCCAACGGTCACATTCGAACATTAAAAACAATTATCCTAAATTGTATGAAAAGGAACCCATTCTTTCGAGGTCATTTCTATATGTATATGCTAATACCCAAGAGTCCATAGCAAGTTTCTTGGGTCAAAATAGCGTAGTTGGAGCGGGTCATATTTCATACCCAATGCAATTTAGTCTGAAAAGAGTGCCCCTCTAAAGAAATTGTGCCTCCCTGTTTTGCTCGATCGCGCTCGAAGCCATCTAAGAAAGCATTACAATGCGGCGTTTGTTTTGAAGACAATTTGTGACGCCGTGTGTTATAAAAATGGCGCACCGCAGCTCGGAGCACCAGGAGCAAAAACTCGCGCTGCAGAAACCAAAGACTTGGAGCTTAATCACCGCCCCTGAACATATTTAATCCGGACGGACATCGCTCAGGTGTAGGGTTGTGTAATTACTCCAAGTTAGCGGTCGCGTTACGCTGCCTGCCACATGTTTCCGACTGTACTCTTTTGCGGGCTAAGAAAAAAACAGGAGAAGCTCTACTAGCAAAGCCTTCAAGTCTTTCCGCTCTAGCAGAACTTATGCCGAAGAAGAGGCGGGTAGAATTGCCTCCCCCTCGCCTTCCCTTCGGCGTTCGCTCTGCTAAAGTGGGAAGAGTGAAGTGCTTTGCGGGGAGGAACGTATTTGTCCGGGCCTTCATTTTTGGTCCCTCGATTTCCGCCTCGTGACGTCACAACTGTCTCGTGTTGTCGCTGGCTACGATCCTGGTGGTGGTACAGCAGCGAAGGTGAATACGGCGGACGCAGAGACATGTCTAGAGAGAGTTTGGTCAATGGGAGGCGCGGGCAGAGCCAGGGCGTGCACCAGACGCAGAAAGAAGGCTTGACATGCTCTCTTGGCCAACCAGAAGCCTAAAAGAATCCCCTAGCGGTGGTAGCGAGAAACTGTTTTAATCATAGGTATATGTTGGTGTATGGTTTCAATAAGCCCGTAAGAGTGAAGTATAGTAACCTTTCAATGTTTAAAATAGGGTGCACATGATGATCATGCAGAAAGATCTAAGAAACGAATGTGCAGGTAATCTTTGTATTGCTCGGACAGAGTATGACCGCTCGGACGGCAGATTCCCGGCCCTCGGCGCTTGGCCTACGCACTATGCCGATCGTTCCGCTAGTCGCACTCGTCTACATTATTTTGGATGACCGTGCTTGAAACATCACGTGCACTATATTTTCAGTCCCGAGGGTTACTCCGATGCACTTATTAAGTTTGTATCTCGCGACCACCGCCAGGGTATCATTTGCTGCTTCTGGTTGGCCGTATTCAAATTTGTGAAGACGCCCTGGAACACGCTTAACCCACTTTCGGCCAACGGCGCCTCCTCATTTGTCTCCTATACTTCCCAACGAATGAATGCTCTGGGCGGACGCAGCCGCGGACCTGGGAACGCCGTGACGACAGAGACCCCTGCGCCCGCTCGCCTTCGTTTGCAAGCGCCTATAGAACCAACGCCAGAATTGCAACAAACGACAGCCTGAACCTCTGTGACGTGTTTTATTGCAGCTTTGAGCCCGTTTCGGAAGCATGGGCGGTATCGCTAAACACACATACACGTCGAAGACGCGTTCCCATCATTCTAGTCTTGGTGCATTAGCTAAATTACCTTTCTATAGTGTAGGGCCACTACCGCCAAAGATCAGAGTAGACCGTTCTGAAGCTGCATAAACACTCACAACATCCAAATTTCTCTGCCGAGTTCTGCCGTTTTCTGCCGTTTTATATGTTCAGCGCACCATTTGATCACGCTTCCCTGCATTGCGCGAATGAAGTACAAAAAAAAAAAAAAAAAGAAACGCCCCAATAGCAACAACGGCAGGCCAAGGAACGATCAAACCCCGGATCCTCTGGAGCCCATGGAGCGATATCTGAGAATCCCTGACTTTGAGGGCAGACAAAGTATGTAAGTCTTGTATGTAAGTCTCAAAAAAAAAAAAGAAAAAAAAAGAAAAAAAAAGAAAAATGGAAGTAAAAATTGGGCGTTTTGTTTCAATATGATAATAACGAAGAAATCGGGTGTTTAAATAACTTAGTCGGAAATACGGGGTTTTGAGGTTATATTTAGACATATCTACTAGAGCTGGGTGTCGATTACAATTTTTAACCCGATCAATGACACGCTTTACTAGATGACTCGATCGATTAATCGGTCTAGTTCATTTCCATGCATAATATTTTTAAAAAGTAAAAGCTTTTTTTCTTTTTCCTGAATATGCGATAAACAGCGCAATATAAAATTTTGATCATGAATGAACCTCGGTCTGTACTTGAGAACAGTTCAAAGTCACCATTTACAGATTGCTACTTGAGCTGCATGAGACAAAGAGGTTCGTTGGTGTTTTCTGGCAAGAGTGACCTCCTTTGAGGATTCACAATAGTCTCTGTTGAAGTAAACGGACACTCGCACAGCATTGAAGTGTCCGCGCAGCGGCGTACCAACTTGTTCTTGAGGAGGGGGGGGCAAACCAGCCCCCCCCCCCCCCTTCCCCTAGGCCGGGGGGCGGTGTCCTTGGTATCCCTAGGGCACCGCCGGCCAGTGTTTGCCCTGCCCAGTGGCGGCTGCTTCAGGGGGAGGGGGGGGGGGGGGGCAAAACACATGCCTCAACCCCAACTGTGAGAACTGGGGGGGGGGGGGGAAGGAGGGGGGCAAGCGCCCCCCCCCCCCCGGTATATACGCCCATGTGGCCGCGGGACGCGTGTAACCTCCTGCATTTGTCTGGAATTAGAAATCTTGCTTCTATAGTTTACTTCAGGTTAAAATTTTACTTAAGGTTACTCTTCATGCAGCAGGTGTATTCGTCCACGGCTGCGTGGTGAAAGAAGTTTTTTTTTTTTTCTCTTTTGGTTCGTCAAAAGTATACTAATTAACCGATCACAAAAGTAATCGCAATTAAAGCATTCATCGATTGATCGGGAGGTTAATCGATGAATTTCCCTGTCCTAATGTGCCCGTGTAATGAACATTAATGATCATTGCTCAATCTAAATAATTTTTTTCTTACAATCAAGCTATAAAGCAAATATATTGGAACATGGTATAGTACCTCACAAAGGCTTTTCCCCTTTTCATAAATCTTTGTTGCTTAAATAATCATCTACATGCCCAGCATCTGTCTCCCTCCCAGACCTGTCAGCTTTTAACACCACCGCTTGCGTACATTTGCAATGCACGACGCTATCGCTTCAGGAGTCACCAGGAGCAAAATAGCAGCTAGCTGTTCCTGTTACACGTGTTCTGGCCACTTCATCACCGTTCGGGGGTCCGTTTAGCGCAGCAGAGACTACTGTGAACAATAAAAAAGATCACCCTTACCGGAGAATATCAACGAACCTCTACTTCATGCAGTGCATCCTAATGAACTGTTCTCAACAACACATCGAGGGTGATTTGAAAGGAAATTTGTATATTGCACCATTTGTCAGAAATTCAAGAAAGGAAAAACATTTTGTTTTTCGCGTTTTTAAATATTATAGATGGAAATGAACAAGACCGAGCAATCGAAAAATTAATCGATTAATGGGTGGCGATTAATTGGGTTAAGAGTTCTAATCGACGCCCAGCCCTAGATTTTGCCCGAAAACGAAGGCTTGTATGGAGGGCAAGGGAGAATAACAGAAAGATAGGTCTCGGAAAGACATTGTGGAAACTGTCCCCAGTTTTGTACGTGTCAAATTTCTTGTGGTGTAGTTCCCATACTTTTATAGCATACGGAATTCTCAAGGCGCATAGTAGTGCGCAACTTATTACGAACGTCTCAAACTTCCATTTCTTTCTTTAGTGTGGTCAGTAAATTGAAGCTGGAGGTGGGCAACACTTAGCTGTACTCAAGCGTTTGTGACCATGCGATCCCACCGACTCCAGGACCTCCAGGCGCGCGCGCTTATACCGAGGAGGTGGATAAATAGGGGCAATCGTGACCACAAAACATATCTCGAGCAAAACAAAAGCTGGAGCCACACCCCTCCACTCTCGTTTAGTTCGACAGGCGGCTTCACGACGCAGCTCAGACAAGTGTCCGCCAGGACAAATGTTATGGACATCAGTTTAGTTCGACGATCGAGACAATTGGGCTTTTCGAGTCGGGTTGGTGAGTCCGACGCACGCGCCACGGAGCCACGCCTCTGGTGGTCTTCGATGTCCACGAGGGCGGACGACGGTCAGTCGCTCTTCCACTCGTCTCTGCCAGTTGGGACCTCGAGCGCGTGCCAGCGTACCACCGCGCTTCTGGGGTTCGTCAGCATGTCCTGCCAGTGGCGCAGCTCCTCGCCGCGGGCGTACATGAAGGGTCCCAGGACGGTCTTTCCCAGGCGGCTGTAGTCGGAGCCGTCGGGAGACACCATGACGGTAAAGCAGAGACTGCACGAGTCGAAGTAGCGGCCCGCCACGCCGAAGCTGAACACGTCGGTGAAGGAGACCTCGTCGGCCGATCTCCACTCGCGCACCTCCGTCGCCTTCTCCTTGACGCTCTTGCGGCCGTGGTTTAACGACAGCTTCACGTAAACGCCTGCGAGCAAGAGGAGCGTGGAGGGACGAGTGAGCGATGCCACAGGGTGACATCTGCTACCGGTACCCTGTGGCTCCCTAGGCACCAAAGAAAAACTGAAGGCAAAAATACCTTCTTGATATTATAAATAAAAAAAAAAAAAAAAAAAAAAAACGAAACGAAAACAAACATTCCCCAGCAATTAATTTTACATGGCTGTCTTATGCAGTCCCGTGCCGACTCTTGTTTAAACGACGAATACAAATATTTGGTTGAGCAAGAGTAAGCTTGCACTTTGTTTAGGTGTTTTTTTTCCTACTTACTTGTGCTATTTTCCTCGAGTCTTGAGAACCTCCGAACTTGAAGCGCCGCCGCCTTGATGCGGTTGGTGAAAGGGTTGCACGTCAGGGATATCTGGATCTCTCCGATCTGAGAACTTTTCTGCGTCATCAAAAATATCCAAGTCAATTTTCTCGTCTAAAATTTTGAACAACATGCTCAACGTAATTCCTGCGTGTCCCAACAAGACTGAACAGCAACAGAATAAAGAAATATTGCTTTCTATATATTCAAAATATGTATATTATATTTTAATCCGTTTATAATGAGGCGGTTTTACACGTTGTTTTTTTCTCGCGAAAATGCGTGCGTGTTATCGGAAACGTATATATTTCTCAACCTCTGAAGCCTTGCCACGTGAATAGCAATGATGTCTGTGCGAAAAGAACGCATTACGTGAAAAGGCCGCTACGATGCAATCGGGGTAAAATTGGAAAAGTGCGCTTTTATAGTTCGAAGCGAAGAAGACCCTGAGATGACAGGTGGGTTTTTATTTTCGGGCATTTTTTTACACGCTAGCTAATGCAGAATTTAATTTTGAACGCCCAAGCAGGTGTGTAAAAACTTCGTAAACATAGCTGGATAAAACAAATGCGTGTTTTTAACTGCGGTTTTTTTTTATCTTGCATATAAGACCCGAGGACCAAGTTTGCTTGGCACTCAGTGCCTTCGTCGCAGCACGCGAGCGGCACTGTTTTGCGTTATAGCGTTATAAAGATAGATAAAAACCGCGACAATAAAAATGCGACCTTTTTTGTTACACGATATTTAAACATGATATGAAATGTTTTGAAATCGTTCTGTGTTCATCTGTACTTACCAAGGTTCAGCTAGTTTTAATCTAGGTGTACCATTTTACTCACTAAATTCTCAACAACTCGAAATCTCGAGGTGCGAGCGACTGGACTGACCAATCTAGGAAGGTTTTCAACTATTCATTTCTAGCACGTAATACCACCACAGGTGCGTTCAGAATTGGTGTGTGTGTATGCTTACACAGCCTGAACTTAGCCTGCCTCAACCGGCGTCTTGTCTCTCAGCTGTAGATGAAAAATTTAGCCAGTGCAGTACAACCGTTAGCCTGGGGTCTTTAACGTTTCATCGCGCAGTAGTAATACACGACCGCAAGCCGGTACAATGCTCATGCAGATCGAAACGAGCAGGGAGCCCAGTGCCCCAGCGTTCTGCAGCGCGGGCTTTGGTGTGTCCAAAATGTCCGTGCTTTCCGCTGAAGAAGGGTGATAAGCTGAATGATGTAATCAACAATAGACATAATTAAAAAAAACACACACATACAAAAGGACAAAGACACAGAAAAGAAACAAGAAAGCAACATATTTTATTAGCTGCGAGGCAGCGCTAATGTGTTTGTTTTTTGTTCCGTTGTCCTTGTGCGCGGATTTTTAAAAAAAATTATGTTTAGTGCTTTTTATTGCTGTGACGAATGTCTCAAAATGCTCTCTAGTTCCAAGGTGGAAGACTACTTCAGCGGGCCTTGAATTAGGAGTTGCAATAGACCGTTTTCAGAAGGGCGCGCCACCAAGTAGCTGCTCCGCAAATTCTCCGACTCCGCCATTGTTTGGGCACACACTCTGAACATGTATTGGACACGATGGCTTCGTCAACATTCGGCGAGGGCTCGGAACCAATCACACACCTTGTGTTCGAAAAATGTCAACGGTCAGCGTTGCTTGAAGGGGTTTCGAAATGGGTTCACAAACTCAACGTGGAAAACGCTCTATTGTGTGGGGAAGGACGGTTGACGAGAATCATCTGAACGATCAAGGACGCTAAAAAAAAAATTCGACGAGCCAGTCTCACGTTCGTACAACTCACAACTGCCCCTCCGTCGAGTGACAGACAACCGTGAACTGCAGACTCCGATGGACAGCAAGAACTAATACCATCACATTTCTTAAATGGCAGGCGAGCAGTCAATCTTGCTTGCTAATTAATCGAGTCCGAGTTACGTAGCCAAAACACCGTTTTCCCAACTACTCACAAGGCAGCTGCGGAATCCACGGAACCGTGCGCAAAATACCGAGCATGCGCCCATGTCGCAAGGAGCGCCCACCATCTACTTCTTCGCTAAAGTTTTATGTGGGTGCATCGAAAGCGGTAGAGCTTGACGCAAGCCGCTGCAAAGCAGGCTCGACGAGAAAGGTACGGCCAATTTAATAATTAATTTCGTGGTCACAATGCTAATACATATCATACAAAAGACAGTCCGCAGACACCGCCCTGAGGAGCGTTCCTTTCTTCTATAAAAATCCTGTCACATTGGCTATATAAAAAAAAGAAAACTTTGCTTTTAAGAGTGGAACGCGATAGTGTTATCGGGCTCCGTTCTCACCGCCTTCTCATTCGCTAGTCACGCTCTTGCGACGGACACCGCACGCCTACACCACACGCCTCACGCGAGGCGCTCAGGCCCCAGCACTATCCCGTATTCTAGTACGCTGTAATACAGGTACAGTCATGGCTTCCTCTATACTCACAAAGCCTGGCAGTTCGACGACGGAGCCTTAGCGCGCCCGGTCGCAGATTTGGAGCGCAAGGATCTGATAGCACAAAGCATTTCTAGGGGAACCTGATCGTGAGCGCACAGCTTTTGCAGCGGCAAGTACCCGAACCATGGTTTTCAAACCCGACGAGAAAAGAAGCCGCAGCGCAAGGAACGCGAGAAGCACGAGTGGGCATTCCATCGCTCGCAACAACTGTGTTTCGGCGTCTCGCCGCAGCGGGGCGCCCGCTACATGCCTGTCCTCTCATCCGTTGTCTGCCGCTCTACCTTTTCACTTTCAGCGGCCGCGTCTCGTGACGATCTGCCAGGCTTTGTAAGTACACAGGAGGCTATGGTGCAGTGTACTAGAATACGGGGTTGTGTTGGGACCGGAGCGCCTCGCGTGAGGCGAATGGTGTAGATCGCGATAGGTGTCGACACTGGCGCATCGGTAATGGGTCAGTATGTGGTGGTTGTGCGCGTGCACCGAGTGCAGGCGCACGTGAGGCGGCACATGCGGACTGCAGCGCCTTTCTGCTGCCCTGTCGACCGCAGAGCCGCGATTGCTGCCTACATGCGCAGTCTCTCAAGTTCCCATTGTCGAGTGGCGCCGGCTTAAACACTATCCCGTGTTCTAGTATACTGTACCTATAGGAATTATTCACTGGCGGCCATATCTGTGTGCGCGACTGCTGAGCGCGTGCTGATGGCTAGCTTCCAGGGTTCTTTTGCAACGTGCATTCCACACCGTCAGAATGGCCGGTCTCAGCAGCCTATTAATGCGGGCTCGTTCTGTGCACGCGCTCTAGACAGCACCCACAAATATGGCGCTCAGTGAATACTTTTTATAAGGGGTATTCACTGGACGCTATATTTAAGGGCGATGTTTAGAGCTATTGCTTAGAATGAGCTCTACTAAGACCGGCGATCTTGGTGGTGTGGAATGCACATTGCAGAAGAACTGCGAAAGCTCGCCGTCAGCAGGCGCTCAGAAGCCGCGCACACAGCTATTGCCGCCAGTGAATACTCCCTTTATTGATCAAATAAGGGTCTGCCCTATTTATGTACCCCTCCTGCTTTTCTGCTCTCAGACCGAACAAGCGGTCATCCCTATGTTTTCGTAATTACCTCCAACTTTTGCGTGGGCGCTTGTTCAGTATTTTACATGTGCTCTTTGGGTCATATTATAGTCGGTTACAAGTCAAGAAGGTAGGAGAAGCTCCTCCCACAAGTGTGATGCGCCTGTTTCAAATCTCTCCGCAGTCGAAAGAAGACTTCACTGGAAACGCTCCTTGTTCCGCTTCAATGGATTCCCACTTGTCTCCGATCCCACTTTTTAAGAAAGCGACCTTTGTATTCATCGGAGAGGGAACCGAGCCCCTGAAAGCAGCCTTTATATCCATCGGGGGGGAAGCTAATCCCCGAAAGTCGTATTTGTTTCCGTCGGTGGGGGAGAACTCTAATCTCCCTCTCGTGGCTTCCACAATGCTAAGTCAAAGTCGAAAGATAAACCAAATATGTACAAAAGGGCAAGACCCTCCTCGCGCGTTGGCCGCGACGTCACGGAAACGGTGGGACGCTATTGGATGCGGAGGTGGCGGAGGGATATCTGATTCCCTTTGAGGGGCATTTGCCGCTACCTTCTTAACCTGTAACTGACTATAGTTCATGAGAGTTTCTGCGAGGAAATCTTAAATATACGAGAGGGAGACGTCCTCAAAACAGAACACGACAGTATGCTGCCTCTGATGTATAAACACAACAGACTGATGGAAACGTGTGCAGGCAGAGACGATATAAGAAAGCGCATGCGTGGTCCGTCCGCCCAACAAGCAAGTTATTCATAGCTGATAATGCAATTAATTCAAAAGTGCTAGCGATCTAGTCAAGAATGACAATAATAGTCACCGGAGATGAGAAGGGGATCAAAGGTTCCTGGTTGGCTCAGTTGGTAGAGCGCTCCACTAAAAATGGAGGGGTCCCTGGTTCGATACCAGGACCAGGCGGATTTTTTTTCGGCCGCGTACCAGTCACCTAGCTGCGTTTGGAGATTTGTGTTTGTCCTTTGTCCCCCTCCCTCTCCTTCTCCAGGGATTATTATCGTTATTCATAGGACCGTGAAACGCCTGTGTTTTCTAGAGAAAGGGAAGCCGCGGACACCAGAAGATGGCAAAGCGAAGAGAGTTAGACGTCAGACGTTTGGACAGTGTGAGGTGGGTCTGCCTAAACTATGGGGACGCTGGTTCATGATGTGGTTTCAAAATTTATCCAGCGCGGGACGACTGCTAACCTGGGACCTTCCTATAACGTGGATCAGTAACACACGACGAGAGTGGGGTGCAGAAACATTGACACGCAAGAACTTTAGACTGGGGTAAGCAGTTAGTGAGTAAGCGAGTGAAAACCTATTTTTATTTTCCAAGGAGAGGATCGTCTCGCTTGACCGACCAATGGGGAAGCGAGAGACAATCAGCAAGAACGGTTCTCTTGGACCAGTTGTAACACAGGTGTTCAACTTACCGGCACGTCCAATTTTGGAGTTATTACTGTATTTGACTAGGCTGATCTTCTAATCTTGTTCTATGTTTTGCGCAAAGAAAAAAATCCTTATCCATATTACTGAAATGATTCGAAAGAGGACGTTGATATTGGACGCACCGTTTTCAAAAGGAGCGTGTATTCTTCAGCATTCTGCTTTGTGAGTTCAGATATCTGAACATGTGGTCTTCTCACCTTTGGCACGTTGTCGAGCTCCATCCAGATGACTTTTTCGGGCGTCAGGGGCTCCTTCTCGAGATTGAGCATCACGTGACCCAGGCAGTGCCTCACCTTCCTCCGGTCGATGTCGTACACCGACAGCCGGAGCGTCCGCCGCCGCACCTCGGCCTCCTCAATCTGCAAACACCGGACATTCACCATGGTATTATACGCAGAATGCGTATTTTCTTAGGGCTCGCATGGCTTAGACATTCCGTCAAATAAAAAGATGATGTGTTTTTTTTCAACCAGTGGCACTTTCTATCGGAATTATCGGTATATTTTCCGGCTAAATTTGGCGGGAACATCGTGGAGTCACGCCACGTCACTCTGTGGCATCACGTGACATCGTACTGATTTTCCCGCTAAATTTAACGAAGAAGTTGACGTTACGTGACGTCGCCATTGCACCTGACGTAATCGTGTCACGTGGCTTCCATATGCCCGCTAAATTTAGCTGGGAAACAAATATCACGTAACACCATAGGACGTTAGGTGACATTCTGACGTTGTGCGGTTCGACCAACACGAACAAGAAAGTCCCGTGAAGGGTTCTTATATAAAGATATCTCTTTAAAATGTAAAAAAAAGTGTAACGCGGAGGTGTAACTCGCTAAACTTGGAAGATTCTCTAAATGCAGGAGGAAGCGTTTCCCCGCCAGATTTAGAGGAGAAATTAAAGTCATGTAAAAGTATACATTAATTCGGGTTCTCCCCCTAAATTTAATGGGGAAACGCCTCCGGGCCGAATTTAACGGGACGCAAGTTGGCTGAATATAGGGGAATTCAGCGGGACTCGTGGGCACAGAAAAGCTTATAAATAAACACCCACCGTAGCCGAATACATGATGCACATTTTGTTTATCTCAACATAATAATACTTTCGAAGTTTAATAAAAAAAAATAGTGGGAGCGAGTCAACATCTTATCATGTGTACTACAAAACGAAGGGCGTGCGATGCTCCATTATACAGGGTGTTTCACGAAAGGTGAACAAATTTGATATTGCGAAAACTACGCATCGCAAAAAAAAAAAAGGCTTGTGTCGTTTTGTTTGTGGGCCAGGGGTCTACCTAGGAAAATTATTAAAGTCCGGGATAATCAAATTGTTAATTATTTTGCGTGATTAACTTTTTGAATACTGGGTTTAATTTAAGGACGTAGTTTCAATTAGAAAATTTCTCAGCATCATCAAAAACACTCAATCAACAAATTGCAGAACGATAGAAGGCACGCGAAGCATTTTACGGCTTTCTAAAAGAACGCACACATTCGACGGGTTCTTAGGTTTCAGTTTGCTTTCGGAGCGCATCTCGGCCTCGGCGGCACCGCGCCCTAATGAGAGATAGTGCAACCAACCTCTGCTGCGCTGTCATCGCGCGACACAGCAGGGGTTGGTTCCACTATCTCTCCACAGGGCGAGGTGCCACCGGGGCCGAGATGCGCTCCGATAGCAAACCGAAACTTAAAAATTCGTCGAATTTGTGCGGTTTTTCAGAAAGCCGTAAAATGCTTCGCGTGCCTTCTATCGTTCTGCAATTTGTTGATTTGGTGTTTTTTGATGATGCTGAGCAATTTTTTAATTGAAACCATGTCCTTAAACCCAAGATTAAAAAGTTAGTTACGGAAAAAAATAATTAACAATATGATTATCCCGGACTTTAATCATTTTCGTAAATAGGCCCCTGGCCCGGGACCAAAACGACACAAGCCTTTTTTTTTTTGTTGTTGCGAAGCGTAGTTTTCGCAATATCGAATTTGTCCGATTTTATGAAACACCCTGTATAGTGTGGCCCTGGTGACCAGTGAAAAACACAATAAAGATGAATCTGGAGGCGCATAGTATTAAGCTTTCAAGGGGTTTCACACTGTGGACACTGTGGAGAACGTGACACAGCACGGACACGTGAACGTCAGTTTATTTTTTAGAGCGCAGCTCTTAGGCGCCCGTTTCCGGCTTAAGCGTCGTCGGCATCGGAGTAACCACGCGTTGCGTTATGGGACGTTTCCCATAATGACGTCACACCTGACGTCACGTTTAACGTCACGAGGGTCACGAGTGACGTCACTTGTGAAGTCACCGCGCGTTGCATTATTGGTCAATTTCCCCGCCAAATTTAACAAAAAAATCCCCGCTAAATTTAGCGGAAAAAGTCCCCCACTACATTTAGTAGAAAAAATTGCCCACTAAATTGATCGAAACAATTTATCCGGGAAATTTAACGGAAATTTTTCCGCAAAATTTAGCTGAAAATTTGTTCCGATAAATTTAGCACGAAAAATTTCTCGCTGCATTTAGGGAGAACGCTTTTCGCTAAATCTGGAGGAAAAAATTTGCCGCTAAATGTAGTCAGAAATTTCCCCTCTAAATTTAGCAGAAAACATTCCCCACTAAATTTAGTGTAAAAAATTCCCCGCTAAATTTAGCGAAAAAATTTTTCCACTTAATTTAGCGTAAAATATTCCCCGTTAAATTTAGCGAAAAAATTTCCCCAGTAAATTTAGCGGAGAATTTTTTCCGCTAAATTTAGCGAGAAAGTTTGCGAAAATTTCCCGCTATATGGGAGGGTATCAGGCGAGGAGGAGGGTAGAGTACGGACGAGGAGGAGAGGCATACCCTCCTCTTTGTACCTTCCCCGTCGCACCTTCTCCTCCTCCTCCTCGATAGCTGCGCTCTAATTCGGTGTTACAGGGATTGCAAACGTCTTATTTTTTATTGTGTTTTTTTATCCTTCTCGCAGTTGAAAGGCTGGTCAAGTGCAGCACCTCTTGCGTAATGAATTGTTCTGTTGTGGAGTCAGCTTTTACTTTTACTTCAATGTCGATGTGACATCGACTTTGAAGTTAAAAGCTGGCGTTCTGCGCTAAATCTGACCAAGGAAAATGCGAAAAAAACTTAAAAAAACTCGAATGTAGTGTTTTTGCGAACTGCGCCGTGCTTGGCACATGCGATCGAGCTATAGTGAAAGCAGGAAATGGAAGCCTCGCAACAGATGGCACATGCACTTTTATTTTTGGGTCTATGATCGACGGTGTTGTTGCTGCACTGGCGACAAGCATAAACACTCAAGCTGCAGTTTCCGAAACGGAAGAATATGTAAAAAATAATAGGCAGCAAGAGTTAAGCACTAAGCAGACATCTCAAACACTAATAAAATACGGGAATTTCTTGTTAATATGGACTTCGTTTTTATAAATACCATAATATGAGGATTTTTTTTTCTCTCCAAATGTGCCGAATTTAGACACCGGAACGAAGCCGATTTCAACCGAAATTCAGACTATATCTAGGGGCCTATCGTTTCTGAAAGGTATTGAACTGAAATCGGTCATATGCGAAAAACATCAATGTAAAGATTGCCGCGGTACAGTGCTGAAAGCATAAGCACACATTCATGTCTATCTCAGTTTCGTTTAAAGGGGCCCTGCAATCATATTTAAGTGTCTACCTTTTTTCCGGTTTCCACGCCTCTTGGGGTTCAGGCAAGCCAGCGGGCACGGAGAGAGTAACTAAATATCAGTGCGTCACATTTTAACCGGACGACGCGGAAACCTCCTTCGCCGACGGGAGCGACCCACAGTACCGAAAGCGCGCAAAATGTGACGTCTTTGGTCCTGGGCTTACTACTGGTCAGAGCCGCTAAAAGCTACTGTTTAGTCGAAATACAAAATCTAAAGGGCGCGAACCGTTTCAAATATTTATTAAAGTAATTTTTGTTGAGTATTTTAGATCATAAAAGACACAAATGCAGTTTATAAAGAACGGAAACAAGAAATGACCGGTCGACATACCCCACACCAAGCGCTGGAAAAGGCGGCGCATACTAGAAAGGCGTAGAGGGATCAGGCACCGACGAACGGCGAGCGGTGACAAGTCCCTGATGTACGCGGCGGCGCTGCGGTCGTATACGATCTCGAGGATCCGACCGCTTCCGAGCGTTCCAAAGGCCTTCGGCGATAGGTTTGGCTTGCGGTTTGGCCGTTTGGCGGTATGGCAGCGCGAGGTTGCTCCCGTTCTGAACTGATCTTTATTCCGTGTTTGCTGTCGTTTATGGTCAATGAAGTGTCATGCCGAATAGACCCTTTCCGAAATTCAGTCTGGCCACTTCAATAGCTATCATCACCGTCATCTTGACGGTGCTCAAAAGTGCGGCTGGCCACACTGTACGAGGGAGACGCCGCCAACGCCACCATGAGCATGTACTTTACTTGATTACGGGCTTTATGGCGCAAAGCTACTATGGCCATACTGCGCCAAGCTTGTTTAGTTGGGACATACTCAGGTCTTTTTTATATGAATTATCGAAAAGAGGTTCATATGACAAGGTTAAAATTCATAGAGTTAAAATTACAACTCTAGTAGGAAGCCGGTTTTTCTTAAGTAATTTATGATACAATCAAATGGTACTATAGGAGTCTCGCCAATTAGCAGCGCTGGGTGAAAAGGAATCTGGTGGGAAAAAAACTCGGGGAAATGTGTACGTCGTTCTTGCTCAAGCCCTGGGCACAGCCACAAAATGTGTAAAATTGTCAAACGCTCCCCACATTCATCACACAGGGGTGGGGCTTCCCCCCTGAGCAGATGTTTGTGGGTGAGGAAGGAATGTCCAATTCTAAGACGACACAAAAGAACTTCAAGGCGGCGGGTTTTGTGGGATGCACTCTCCCATATACCAAGAGCTGGTTTAATCCTGTGAAGTATGTTTTCGCATTCCAGACTCCACTCCGATTGCCATAGCCGGAAAACTGATGATTTCACCAAGGGCTTCATGTCTTGAAATGGAATCTGTGAGGTGGTTGGCAGTAGGTGCTTAGAGCTCGTGGCCAATTCGTCTGCTCTTTCATTACCTAGGATCCCCACATGGCTAGGCACCCAGCAGAATTTTATGTCTCGGCCAAGCCGCAGACCACATTGTACCTTAGATCGGGCAAGTTGTGCCAGTCTATTTTTACTTCCCTTTATTGAGCAAAGTGTGGTGAGCACACTTTGAGAGTCCACGAATAAAATAGATTTCATTGTCTTGCTGATGAGGATATATTCCAAGGCCATCAACACTGCATAGAGCTCTGCCGTGTAAATACTTGCACATTCCTTGAGACGCTGAACCTTACTGAATCCTTCAGAGTAAACTGCTGAT